CACAACAGTGGAAATGTTGTTTACGTGTACAGTTCAGGCTCACCACTCCTGGACTGTACACGTAAGAATGGTTAAGCAGGTAAAGTGAACCGCAGTTACAAAATAATAATAATTAGCTTCAAACTGAACGAGTGAAAAGGAAAAGCTGCCCCAGAGAAAGCTCTCTGAGCACTGGCATCTGTCGTGTGTTCCTGCCTCCCGGCTCCGGCTGCATAGCCAACAGCTGTACGATTTAGTGGCTTAAAACAACCAGCACGCTTTTAGGTTCTGGTTCCAGTGTGCGGTCTGGGTCAGGCTCAGATGACCTGGGCGGGGCCCAGCAGAGACTGGGGGCGGGGCCGGCCTGTGTGAGTGGCCCACCTGGGATGGCTCATCTCCGCTCCAAAAGGTGTCTCAGCCTCCGACAGTCCAGCCCTGACTTGTCCAGGCAGGGCTGGTGGCAGGGGTCCTGTGAGGAAGAGCAGAAGCCAGCACGGCCTCTCGAGGCCGTGGCTCACACTCACACACTGGCCTTTTGACCATGTTCTAGGATCCAAAGCAAGTCACAGGGCCGGTCAAAACTCAAAGGGTGGGGAGGTGAACTCCACCCCTTGGTGGGAGGGGCTGCGAAGAATCGCTGCAGCCTACCAGACACACTGTATATATGCCAGGCCCTGTGCGGAGTGTTGAAGATAAATATGTGAATAAAACACTGTGAAGTGCAGCGGGCATGTAAATCGTTACAGCACATAGCATGCCCTGAAGGTGAGCCCGGGGGCTGGGGAGGCTGTCGAGGAAGGCAGAGGATGGGGGCTTAATACCACCTTAACCCGTGTTGAAGGACAAACGGTAATGAGCCAGAAGAAGAGGGGCAGGAAGGTCTGAGCAGAGAGACAGAGAGAGGAGTGAAAGCTGGGAAGGGCCTGCCCGGCTGAGGCTCCCCCAGGGGGTGGAGGGCCGGGGTGTGGGGGGAAGAGGGGCCTTGCTTTCCCTGCTCAACCCAAAAGGGTTTATTTAAGTAGAGGCTGATGGCCGGGTTGCTGTGTGGAGGTGGCTTGGACAGGGACAGGCAGGAAACGGGGACACCCTTGGAGGCTGCCGCAGTGACAGGTGAAGGAGGGCGGCAGGCTCAGATGGGGCGCCGGCAGGAATGGGGCCAGAAGAGTGGGCTTGGTGTGGGAGGGGGCGGGGAGGAGCCGAGGAGTCAGCCTAGGGACCAGGGAGGCCCCTGCTTTCTGCCCAGGTGTCCATGCGCTGGGGGATGGGGATGGAGGTGGTCCCTATGAAGGGTTAAGTCCAAGGGTAGCAGGCAGGGCTTGCGTGAGCGAGCAAGGGTGTCATGCGGTTTCGCAGGCACAAGAGGGACATCTCACTCAAACCTGGGAAAGACCACGCAGATTCCAGAAAGTCACGCAACAGAGAGGGGCCCTGAGGCCAAGGCTTCGTTCCCTCCCAGCAAGGTGCCTGCCAAGGCCCAGGCTGGCAGACAGCTCCCTCCCCAGGCGCCCCCACACCTCTCCCGGAGGGGTCCCCCCAATGTGTCTCTGGGCCACCCCGGCTTCCACACGACTGAGACAGCCAAATTCCACAGGGTGCTGGGGCGCTGCTGGGGGCCACTCTGACGACCCCACGCGGGTCAGGCTCCGCCCCAGGCCTGCAGACCACCGAGGGCGTCAGGAAGGCTTCCCCTGGAGCCCGCAGTTCACCAAGCGCCTCAGGCATGAAGGGCTGTCCTTAGCCGAGGCAGGGGTGGGCAAGAGGGCAGCTTATGCCCAGAGCAGGTGCCGGCTTCCTCCCGTGGACCCTGGGCCGTGATGTCCCACAGTGCCGCTCCTTCGGCCGGGCGCTCAGCCGGCAGCCGTAAGCGCATACTGAACGATCAATACTTTGAATGCGCTTGGGACCCTGCTGTGAAAAGGAATCCCCTGTGAACACTTTCATAAATTGAAAAATTCTTCTGAAACCAAGTAATCCTGCTCAGCTATTAAAGCCAGATTTCCACAGAGTGGGAGCGGGCAGTGCCTGCAGTTATGAGGACCTGGGTCCCCAAGCCCCTTCCTGATCCTCCTGGAATCCCTGGGGAGGAGGCGCTGCTGCCGAGGCTGGGACTGTGGGTGTCATCGTCGCTGGAATTTTGGTTTAAAAGTAAAATCTTCCCGCACAATCAGAGAGCTCCGGGACCAGAGGCAGTGGCACTGTGCGCGCTGTGCGCTGCCTACGCTGCTGTGTTCTCCTGGCTCCCTGGGCGTGGTTAACTCAGCAGGCGCGTGGGCTGCTGCCGCCACTCACGGCAGTGTGACAACCAGGGGGCAGTGGAGCAGGTGTCCTGGGTGCTCGAGGGAACTGAGGCCCCAGAAGCTAGGGCAACGTGCCCGGGGTCACATAGCCAGTTAGGGGCAAAGCTGGACTGAGAACCAGCATCCCGGTCTTTGGAAGTCCAGCCCAGAACTCCTTCCCCGCCAACGCTGCTTCTCTCAAAAGGTGACATCCTTCACCTGGCTCTTGGTTTGGGAATGAATTCGGATGGTGGCTGTTCTGAGAGCTGATGTGTGAGCACAGCAGTCCAGCCTTAGCCCAGCCTGGCCCTGCGGGCTCCCCCTGCGCGGCGCCTCCGCACCCAGGCCTCCTGCACCTGCGGCAGGCACCCGCTGCCCCACCCCCAGCCCAGGCCCCGGCCCCTCTCTGTCCAACGTCCGTGTCCCACAGGCCCTAGCCCTGACCACAGAACCAAACTCATCACCCCCTCCCTTCCCAACATGCCTCCGGAAACCTGGAAGAGGCCCTCACACCCTGCCCCCCCACCATGTCCCCTCCTGCACCGAGGGCCATGGCAGGCGCCCACAGCCTAAATACTCACCCTTCTCTGTCCTTCTGTGACTGTCAGTTAGGGCCTTTGTCACTTCTCACTTGGATTATGCAGCCGTCACCCCCGTCAACAGTAACAATGAGGCTTCCAAGCGTCTGTTAGGCATGCACTGCAGGGACATGGCCGTTGGGGACGTGGATTAACTTCCCAAGCCCACGCAGCTGACGGGAGGCAGGGCTCAGGCCCTCTCAGGGCCCTGCCTCAGTGCACCGCTTCCATCCTGCCTCTAGCGTGGCTGCCAGACTGATTGGTCTGAAACCCAGGTCTAACTTTGTCGCTCCCTGCAGAGTCCTTAGTGGCTCCCCAGTGCCCAGAAGGTTAAATGTGAGTCCCCTTGAAAGCGTCTTGCGGTCTGACCCTGCCAGCCCAACTGCAGTGACCCCACCCTCCCCAGGCCTTTGGTCCCCCGGCCAGCACCTCCATGCCCTCCACTCGGTGCCGCGTGCCCTGCTGCCGGTCTGAGCACACCTGCGGGCAGCCTCGCAGGGGCCTCAACAGCGCCCCCCACCCGCCGCCACTCCAGCCTAGCCCCGCGTGGGGATGGGGGTGTCAGTGATTTGCCACGGCCCGCACATCTCAGTCTCCCGATGCGGGGCGTGCTCCAGGACCCCCCCACCGTCTTCTGCAGTCTTCAGCAGAGTCGAGCCTGCCTGACCGCAAAGCCCACGGGCCCTGCCCATCCCTGAGTGTCTGACCTTCACCGGCTCTGGGAACAGAGCGGGAGCCCACATCCCCATTTCACAGGTGCACATACGGAGGCTCAGGGAGCGCCGGGGCGTCTCCACGCACATTCGGGTGTGTGGGAAGCAGCGCTGGGCTCCTCAGGGCGTCTTGGCAGGAGCTGACGCCGGCCCGGCCCATGTGGACAGAGGTGACGAGTCAGGCTGGAGCAGGGCACACCGGAGGGCAATTCCAGAATACCAGCCAGGGTTCTGCATAGACCTGGAGGGCTGGGGCAGTGGTAGGGGGCTCAGCGGGCAGGGCTCAGTTTTGCAGACCACCCTCTCCCACTCACCTCCCAAATGACGTAACCTGCCTCACCACAGTCTAGATCATTCTGGCCCTCCAATCCGGGCCGTTGATTTCCCGCCACCAGCGATGCTAAGGACAGGCTCTTTCCAGGGGCAGGCAGGCAAGGCGAGGCTTGTGGGAGCGCAGGTCCCCCAAAGGCCCTAACTTTTGCAAATGAAAGAGTTTATATAAACTAAGCAGCATAGCAGTCAGGCTCTCCTCCTTCCCCTTTCTGAGCCTGGAGATGGGCCTGGGAGAAGCTTCCGACACCCCCAGGCTCAGAGCCTGTGGGCCTGGGTCCTTGTCTGTGCCAGCCCGGGGGGCTGCGACACCGAGCAAAGGTAGGTGTGCACCAGGGTGGAAAGGCCCAGAGGCCGCTGCCCAGGACCTGCTGGGGCTGCAAGCCAGGCCATCCCGTGCTGAAGCCCCCGGCGAGGGTGGGAGTCCTGAATGAGCCCGGATGTGGGAGGAGGTACAGGCAGTCCCTGCCCCTGGCTTGCTTCCCCCAGCAGCCCCCGAAATCTGAAATGGAAGGAAGTGTCCCCCAGGGCCCCACTCTGCCCTTCCTTTCAAGGGACCCCTCCCCAAGCAACTCTCCCCAGCCTTGGCTGTGAGTGTCTAACAGAAGAGATGCTGTTTTTGCAGGTTTTGTGGTTTTTATTCCTGTGAACCATATCCAGCCCATCTTGCATCACAATGCCATGCTTTACTTGGTATCAAATACATCGGCACTCATTGGCATTTGAAGAACTTGTTCCGTAGTGATATAGCAGTTTTTAGTCGTCTGTGATAACGTATTCTCTATGTTTCCAATTGCCACTATGGGACTCTTTTCCCCAGACCTTTCAATTTCTGGGTTTGATTTTTATTGTATTTGTTTTGTTTTTTCCTTTTTTTTTTTTTTTTTTTTTTTTTGCTTTTGAAAGTTGTGGTTCCTTTGGTTATGTGGCCCCTCCCAGTTGCCGCTTGTTTATGCATTATGTTTGTGACTTCCTTTGACTGTCGGTGTTGAGCCAGTCTTGCCAAGAAAAGTATCAAGTATTTTCCTATTTCTCTACTTCTTGAAAAAAAAAAATTTTAATTTAAAAAAAAAAAAAAACCTCTTAATGGGAACCTGGCCCTGTCTGTCTTCTCTGTTCTGCAGAAATGTTGAAGGAATTGAACCAGCAGCGCAGAGCGAAAGCCTTTACAGACCTGAAAATTGTTGTTGAAGGCAGAGAGTTTGAAGTCCACCAAAATGTTCTAGCTTCCTGCAGCTTGTATTTCAAGGACCTGATTCAAAGGTTTGCCTTCCTTCCAGCTGTGGTCGGGTCTGTTCCTTTGTAGGACGCTTTTGTGTCGCTTTTCTCCTCCCCTCTCTTGCAGGTTCCTGAAGTGTGACTCCCTGTCACAGAGCCAGTAGCCATCTCTCCTCCTCCTCCCTCCCCCCGCCCTCCCCAGTGCCCTCTCACACGCAGCCTCAGAGCAGCCACTGCCCCAGCCCACCCCACACAGCTTTGCTGGTCCCTAGGGGCCTCTGCCAGCAGCAGGCAACACCCCCGCCCGGCCCCGAGGAGCCCGCGTTCTCAGTGGCTCACAAGCCCTGCCTGAGATTAGGAGGACGATAGACCCCACGGTGAGGGACCACGGCACACCACCCCCACTGGGCCAGCACGGGGTACCCGGCACCTTGGTCACTGCTGTCGATAGTGAATGTAATGCCAGGAGAGCACATCGACCACACCTGCCCCTGCTGAGGGGCACAAGGTGCCCAAGGGGCCACTTTTTCACAGCCCGAGTCGGGGAGGAGACTTGTAGCCGAAGCCTCATCCGTGCTGCATGTCTTCACACTTGCACACTGAGCCTCAGTCAGCGTCGTCTGAGCCCAGACCAGCTGTGTCCTAAACACGGTCTCTCTCGGCGTCTGCGCCCTCCCCGCGCCTGCCCTCTGCCCCGGCTATTTCTACCGGAATGAGTCTTAATGGTGCATGAGCATCTTTTTTTTTTCCATTACGTTGATTTTTTTAATTTGTCTGCTTCATACCCTTGCAAAGAAGTCAGGGGCCACCTTCTAGCACCTTAGTGAGGGAGAGCAGCCGAGGGGCCAGCCCAGGGGGACACTCCTATTTCTCTCACCCATCAGCAGATTAATGCCGCTGCTCATTTTGCCTTGCAGCCTCTCCGGGGCGGACGCTGAGCCAGGACTGTGCTCAGCGTGGGAGGACAGGACCTCTGCTTGCTTCCCAATGCTGTGTTTGGACTTGCCAACTAATCCCAGAGTGACTGTGTTTTGTTTCAGGATGGCACACTGGCTGGCATCTCCTTTCCAATCCGTTGTGTCCTTTCACTTAGAGCTGAGCTGCCCGGCGTGCAAAGCCCTGCCCAGCCACGCCGGCCCCGGCCGTGCGGAAAGCGGCAGGCTCTTTGTGACTTCCAGTCTCATGGACAGCTTGGGTCTCCCGCCCCCGCTGCTTAGGTTCTCTCTGTCCGAGCCCAGGGGTCAGGGGCATGAGCTCTGGGGGGAGTGGGGCATGCCCAATGGCTTCTTCAGGCCAAGAGAGCTCTTTGCGCTTCCACACTTGGCAAATTCTGGACCTGGCAGTGATGGCACCTGGCTGCTGAGTTGCACATGTGGCATCCTAGGGCCTTGGTCCTGGTCCAGACCAGCTGAAGATCACAGGAGGGGCAGGCCGCAGGGGCAGGTTGGTACTGAGCAGTGGCCCAGCCCTGGGCCAGAAAGATGTGGGCAAGAGGAGCACAGGCACCCCTTTGACTGTCTTCAGAGACCTTACATGTAAAGCCAAATTCGTGCACACAGCAGGGAAAGAGGACACCACTAGGTGGAAACCCAAAGCGGTGAAGGCTTCTTGGACAGGCCAAAAAGAAGGATGAAGAACTTTCCAGGCAAGGGATGGGTTGACTGGAATGTTCTGGAATGTTCCAGAATGTTCTAGGCAAGGTGGCAGGTTGCCTGGGATGGAAAGTTGAGGACAGAGACAGTCATGAGCACTGGGAAAGGGCGATGGCCTTCCCAGAGATGGGTGTGACCTGGGGCAGGCTGGGCAGGCAGGCCTGACTCCTGGGCTTGTAGGGGCCGTCGGGAGCAGTGGGGAGGGGATGTCCCCCTGAAGGCGGGAGGACTTGGGATGTGCTTTCGTGACCCTGACCCAAAAGGATGGGATCTGAGAGGCAGTCACTGGAGGAGGACACCCCCTTGGGAGCTAGGAGACCTGGGCTCTACACCTGTCCCTGCCACGTGTCCTGTGACCCCAGGCAAGTCACATCCTCTCTCTCAGCCCTCGGGTTTTCCCATCTGTAAAACAGGAGGTTGGTTCAAATGATGTCCAGGTGGCCTTGCATGGTGACAGTAAGGGTGGGTGAGTGGCAGGACCAGCCCTGCAGAGGCTTCCAGGTACCAGCGCTAGGACATGAGAGGAATGAGGTCACCGGGGGCAGGTCCCCAGACCAGCATCAGGGCAGCCGGGGAAGATGATGAACGCAGTGCTCGGCGTGTCGCGTGTCAGCAGCCTGCAGGACAAGCACGCGGAGGCGCCTGGTAGGCAGCGCGACGGGGGGAACCAGAGAGAGGCCTCAGGTCTGGGAGATGGGGGCCCAGGGAGGAGGGGAGCGAAAGCCGAGCCCAGAGGAGCCACCGCGCCTGCGGATCAGAATGGCACATGGTAGCCATTTTAAACTTAACTTCCCTGGCCCTCGCTGCGGACACTCATTGCCATCTCTGCCGAGAGCTGCAAACGAATTCCTTCTGTGAGGAGGAAAGCAGACTCTCTGAGGATGATTTCCTTTCCGGCCGTGGACAGTCCTGGAGAATTTCACATTCTCAGAGGTCAGGGAGCAGCTGGTGGTGTTACGCTGTCATTGCCCTCTCCTTGCCCCCTGACCCTGGAGACTGAGCGTGCAGCGGCCGGAACACCCCGCGGGAGAGACAGGACCCTGCCCGCTGAGCCCCAGGCCGGGGCTGCCCCCTCGGGCAGCTGCACTAACACAGGCAGAGGGAGTGGGGACCCGATGCCCCAGCCCTTACCTTCCTGAGGGTCCACATGAGCACTGTCGGGGGCAAGCGATCCACGCCCCTGCCTCCCAGGACCTCCAGGCCTGGAAGCTCAGAGCCTGGAGCAGGTGATGTGGTCACTGACCCAACCCCAGTGAGGACACCTCGCCAGGAGCCCCAGGACTGACATAGGGACACCAAGTCATTCACTGCTCTTCACTCAGCGCACAAGCAGCACCCTCCTGGGGGCCAGGTCTCCCGCAAAACCCTAGGCAAGACAGGGGCTCTGCCGTCAGGGAGCCCCCAGTCTGCGGGGAGAGGCTGTCTAGCAGGGTCAGGAAGACACAGATTGGGAGGTTCAGAGGCTCGCAGGCCGTGTGCTAACTCTAGCGGGGGAGGGGCGTTCCCCAGCGCCACTGGAAAAGAGGTGGCAACTGATGTGGGTTTTGAACCAAGAATGGGATTGACCAGATGGAGGGCAGGGCAGGCAGGAGAGGAGCAAGTGTGAGGCCGAGGCCAGCAGGGGACTCCCCGCGCTGCAGGGCCAAGTTCTGGTGGGCAGGGAGGGGAGGAGGCCCGGGCAGGCGCTGGATCACGGGCTCTGTTTCAGGCCCGGGGGTGCCGTGGTCAGGCGTGTGTTTCGTGAACATGATAATCAGCCTGGAAGCCGGAGGGCAGGTCTTGCAGCATCCTCTCCCGACCAGCGGCCGGTTCCCCTTCAGCTCAGCTGCCCAGAGCCCCTGTTCTCCACGCCCAGACTCCAGGCCAACCCCCACCTCGTCCACGTGTCCCTTCTTCACACCTTCGGTGAGGCTACAGCAGCTTCTACTCCTTAGCTGTCCCTCATTTAGCCCCAACCTGTCTTCTTCCTCTGATGAGGGCAAGACCAGCCCACAGGAGGCTTGTAGAGATGGCCCATGTCATCCTGGAAATCCGCCCACTAAGCTTAGAAGCGGGAACCATGAGCATCCCCACCTTACAGATGAGGAAACCAAGGCCCAGAGACGTTGATGTGGCCGACAGACCCGGGATTCTCGTGGAGGCCTGAGTCCACAGCTCATGCTCTCACCATCCGTGGCTGATCCAGAGGAGGACGGACTGTAGCGTTCATTTGTGCACAAAGTCTGCAAGGAAGGACAGTGAAATCTCAGGGCTGACACTGAGGACAGGCGTGCAAGGAAAAGGGATGCAGAGTGTGTGCGTTTGTGTGTGCATGTGTGTCTGTTAGAAACACTTATGACTGGCCACAGGATCGGCCCAAGGTGGGCACCTGAGGCAGTGCCTGAGTCACAGGCACTCGCCCCCGTGCCTGCAGGGCGCTGAGTCTTCTGCAGTCAGGCCTGGAGGCCAAGGAGGCCTTGGAGGAGAGCGCACAGGCCGGGAGGCTCAGAGCCTGTGCTGAGCATGCTGGCCCGGCCCCGCCATCCCTTTGTGGCCCCATCCGAGTCCCTGTGACGATCGGGGGTGAACACCTGCAGGAGAAGGAGCTGTAGCTTTGTCTTTGGATAGCGTGGAGCCTGGTGCTGCGTAACAACCACGCCGCAAGGGAAGCCCCAGCAGGATTCAGTGGAGGAGAGCCCCAGGCTTTGGGAAGGAGGGAGGATCTTATGAGCAGACAGGCCTAGTGGGGTGCTGCGGTTGCAGCTTCCCAAATCCAGAGCCACTTCTCAACCCCGGTGCACAGGCCTGGAGGAGAAGTCCCATCACCTACCCCCTGGGTGCCGAGGAGCTCTCAGGGATAGTAGGAGCCGCAGCGGGCATTGGCGGCACTCAGTGGCCGGACAGGCTGCAGGCCCCCTCAGAGGGGACAAGGACCGTTTGTCTTGGGAGACAGCAGAGTTGCCACCGTCCCTGCCAGCATTTCCAAACACACTCCCAGGTCTGGGAGAGAGAGGAAATGTGCAGTCCCAGAAAGCCCTGGCCTTCTGCCTCCCAAATCACAAAGCCATTTGGAGCCAACAACACATTTGAGCTATAGCCTCTGTTCATAGTGAATGAAAATGGATGGAGACATTGATGAGTCCAAGATGATTTCACAAACGTCACGTGCAGGCTCTGGGCATCTTGTCTGTCCCCTTTTCCAGGGGAAGTGGAAAGGACCTGAGGGGCACAGATCCTGGATGTAGGGGCACTTGCTAGACTTAACGCACTAGTCAAGCCGTACGCCTCTCCCCTCCTTCGCAGCAAAGTCAGGCATTTGTGGGTGGCAGTCTGCCCTTTTCCTGGTAGAATAGACAGGCGTGTCTGGAAAACCAGATAACAAAAGAAGAGACTCACACATCTCAGGTGCTGGCAGAATGAGGTGAGCCAGGCCACCGCCAAGTCACCAGGGGTGGGCCAGAGCCCGCATGAGCTGCAACAGTCCTCAGGACCCAGGGAGGCTGGCGTGTGCCCCGCCAAGCACTGCCCCAGAGTTCCCTTCCGTTATTCCAGATCTGACTTGCAAACTGAAAACATCGGATCCCTGAGGAGGGTGAGGGGCAGATGAGGGACTCTGTCCTGAAGGCTGGAGAGCGCAGTTCCTATCCTGGGCGACAGAACTGTTAATGGTAGGATGTCAGACATTCCACTATATGGGACGAGGCATTCCTGGCACATCCATAGACCCAGGCCCGCTGTGTACCATACCCTTGTCTCTCCCTGGGCCACACCCCCTTTGGGGAGAAAGGGACCCCAGGAAGTTATAGTCTTCTGACAGAATCCGTGGGCCCCGTGTGGGCTGCCCCCCACTTCCATGGGCACACAGCCGGACAGTCCCAACCTGGCAAGGTCATCGCTGTCCTTTCCTGCCCTGTGCCACCTCCCGCTAAAGCGGTGCCATGACTCCATCTGCCCAGCAGCCATGGGGCTGAGCAGAACAGGACACTGGACCCCAAGGTCTAGCTTAGGGCAGGGACAGGTGGTCATCTGTGAAGGATACAGCCCCCAGTGGTGGCCAGGGCCACCCATCAGGGGAGATACATCTCAGGGTCTGCCTGCCCAGAGGGAAGAGCCCTAAGGAGCACTGAGGCTCGGTCCCAAGGCAGTCTGATGGTCATAGACAAAGAGAGACCGCCGCCTCCCTCAGCCGCCACAGCTGGCTGGGCGACACCTGAACCCCTATGAGGGAGAGAAGCAAGCATGTGCAGGTGAGCTGCACAAGGCCTCACTGTCCGGGGCCCCACCTCCTGCATGTCTTGAACTCCAGCACCTGACAAAGCCTCCACCGTGTCCCCAGGTATTCCTCTGCGGCTGAGTGGAACACCCATTCAGCTCACAGCATCTGGCAGCTTGTCCCAGGGGCCTCCAGCCACCACCACCCCAGATCCTCTACCCAGTGGCCTCCTCCTCTCCATGGGTGCCCCTGCTGGGGTGCTGGAGGAGCAGAGCCACAGCTGTAGGTCATAGGGACAGTGGTCTTTTCCAGCCCTGCACAGCACCTACAATGGTCAACATCCTGTGTGCCTCCCCAGGCAACCCAGTGCTCCCCGGCCACGCGGGCACCACCCTGTCCGCCGCCCTCTCCCTGGCTCAGACTGTGGGCAGGACAAGCATCTCCCCACAAGTGCAGCCCCGCTGGTCCCGTCACGCTCATCGCTCACCTGGGACTGAGGGCCCCACTGCCCTTCCATGGGCTCGACACCCCTCCCTGCAGGTGATTCTGGGGTTCTCAGGATCACGTGTCACATGCATTTCTGTGTGTATGTGTGTGTGTGTGTGCGCGCGCGCGCCTCCTGAAGTCCCACCTTGGCTGTTACACTGAGTTTGAACTCCTCTCCTGAGGACTCGTGGTAGTCAGGAGGGCTGGCCAGATGTGGGGACAGCAGTGTCTGGGGGCCCTGGGAGAAGGCGAGCAGCCCTACTGTGGCCTCCTCAGCCCAGCCCTGGCTGTGGCCCAGCGCGACCTCTGCAGACTACGGAGAGCATGAGCAGGACAGGTCAGAGAAGGCCAGGCAGGAGTGAAGGCCGAGGCTATAAAGGCTTAGACCAGGAGGCTGACCAGGTGGCCCCTGAGGCCTGGTGTGTTCAGAATTCCTGCTATTTCAAGTGATCCTATAGTGAATGAAGTCTGCACACTTATGCAAGTCACCCAAGCATGGACACCCATCCCGACAGCAGACTGAGTCTGTTGTCACTTTCAAACTCACACACACCACGTATCTGTGGGTTTGAGAAGGGGCTCTGCTCAGACTCTGTTTAGCGGCACCTTCCCCTCTCTGCTGCCCGGGCTGCCCTGGGCTGGGAGGTACAATGACCCCTTCAGGCCCCTGGTCGGTGAGCCCGTCTCTGGGACCCTCGCTCAGGCAATGGGATGGCAGCGGCACCTGTCCCCTGCCAGGTGCTGCTGTGTTGTGTTGTCTCTGGGGGGCCAGCGCCCAACCAGAGAGAGCACAGGTCTAACGGTGGCATTTCAGGCACCACGGTGTAGAGCAGAGTCTCGTGGGAAGGATGTTCTCCAACCTCTGTCACACCGACTCCCCGTGGGACTTCAGATCTCACCTGGTTCAGTCGTCTTGCTTTGCAGAAGAGGAGCCCGAGGGCCAGAGAGGTCAAGGCGGCCTGCTTGTCAGCGACACAGCTGTGGCACCCAGGTCCCCTAGCTCCCTGCTCCCACAGGAGTCGGCCTCACCCTGGGGCTGGCCTGCTTGCTCGCCCGACACCTCCACGCCCTGCTGCCAGCCACAGGCACCCACGGGGACCAGGCACAGGGGCCTTGGCCCTGGCCCGCTCAGGAGGGGGGGAGCGCAGAGGTCATTTCCCAGGACTGTGACTGGACCTAGCCCTGGGCAGAGCCCGGCTCGGTGAGGAGACAGGTCTGGTCAGAGCGGCCGAGGCTGGTGCCAAGCTGATCGATCACCCCAAGACGCCTGCCTCCCGACTCTTCACGCTCCGGGTGTTTTTCCTCCTGGTCACTTCTGTATCGGTGTGGTTTTTGCTTCATCTTATCTGTTTCCTTCCAGGTCCAGCTTTAGGGTGCGGCTGCCAGGCCTTAGGAGCCTTTGCAATGGTTTTGTATTTCTGTAGACACCAGATATGAACATACTTATATATTTGTGTCCCTCCCCCGCTCCCCCCAATTCACAAGCCCGATGCACACTCTACACGCAGGCCACTCTGACCTCTGACCCCGTGTTCCATGTGGCAGGAGGGTCCCGCCCCGGGCCAGGTCCCAGGTCATGGCTGCTGGCTGTCTGTGGCGGAAGTCCTTGGTTGTTCCCCCTTCCCCTCCTCCCAGCTCTAACCATTCTGTCCGTCTGTCTCGTCTCGTCCTCAGTTTCAAAGCAATGTCATGAAGGGCTTCCTTCCCATGCCTAAAAGGAAACAATATGTTTTTGGAAAGAGGTGGGGTTGGAGTCAGCGTTCCGGGACAGCTTGGGACCCTCAGTCTTTGGGGTGTTCAAGGAAGTCTCCGGACTGGCTGTGAGCACAGCCGGTTGGGAGCCTCAGTCTCGCTGGAGAATCTCCCAGGAGAATCTCCCAGGCCCGGAACCTGCTGGCCTTGTTTGGCGGAGACGCCAGGGCCAGCAGTGGGGCTGAACCGTATTGTTTCCCTTTGAGGCCAGTCCTGGTCCTCGTCCCCATCCACGGCTCATGCTTTTTGATTTGCACCTTTTTTTGCATGGACATGCCAAGTAGTGATAAGCAGGGTTTTCTGTTCTTTATGGGCGTCTCTGGTCAGACTCTTCTCTTTCAGATCCCGTGTAAGGTTGATTAGGTTCAGGTGTGTCATTGCCATGTCCCTTGAGTCCTAAACAGAAGGGCGTGGCCAAGGCGTGCAGGGAGATGTAGCCCTGTGAGGAGGCGGCGCCATGGCCGCGGGGTGGCAGATAAGGACACCCTGGTCTCTCTGCCCAGGTCGGTGCAAGATGGCAGCCAGAGCGGCCGGGAGAAGCTGGAGCTCGTCCTGTCCAACCTGCAGGCAGACGTCCTGGAGCTGCTGCTGGAGTTCGTGTACACGGGCTCCCTGGTCATCGACTCGGCCAATGCCAAGACCCTGCTGGAGGCGGCCAGCAAGTTCCAGTTCCACACCTTCTGCAAAGTCTGTGTGTCCTTTCTGGGTGAGCCCAGGGAGCACGTCTGTCCTCTGGGGGGACGTAGCACAAGTGTAGGGAGAATCCAAAAACAGCAAGGATTTAGAGGGGAGGGCTGCGTGTACACCCCTGCTCCAGATGACGCTGGAGTTCCAAAGCAGTGTGAAAGTGATCATTCAGAAAGACGTACGCAAAGGCCTTGCTCACCAGCATGGACAGAGGGCTCCTCTGCATCACTTCCCTAGGACCAGGCAGCCTTGTGGGGGCAAATGGAGCCACAAGGGTTGTAGGAAGGGCCTGCTGGCGGGGAGCTGACCCCTGGCCAGCCCTGTTCTCCAAACACTGAACTAAGCAGCCAAATAATTTTTATCCCTTGAACATACATCACAGCTGTACCACACCAGATGTTCACACAGGTCTGGACATGCGGACTGGGGACGGTCCCTTGGACACCGAGACCTGCGGCCCAGGATGGGGATTTGAGTGTCACAAGCTTCTGGCCAGCCCTCAGCAGAGCACACACTTAGTTTACAGTTTGGAGCTGCTCTGTGCGGGGCAGAGTGGGGCGAGGGTGGGGTTAGGATGCGCCACGACAGTCCTTGGCCCGGGCGTGGAGTGCAGAGAGGGGACTAGGGCTGGGCCTAGGCCAGGAGCAGTCAGGCGGGGGCAGCCAGGGCCTGAGACGCGGCCCTGGGGGACAGGGCAATCCAGAGGGTCAGGAACCACAGCTTCAGAGTCAGACTCCCGAAATGTCCTGGGATCCGGGCACTTCCAGGCTAGAATAACCATTAGCGGGATCTTGGGAGAGCTGACCAGATGGACCCCAGGTCCGGAGGTCAAGGGGGTGAGCCTGAGAGGCCCACGGGAGATGGTGGGTGGCACGTGTGGGGCGTTACTGCTCTCAAGACTCTAGAGTAGGAGTCTGTGACCCCACACATACCTGTCACACTTATGAAAGATGACATAAGCTTCTATCGTGCAACCCCTTCCTTCTACCCCAAGGCCCACAGGCAGTGAGGATGCTCTCAGGCTGGTGCCGACGCTCCGTACCTCGCAGTCTCCTGCTGCGACCTGCAGCAGCAGAGAGAGGCCCTGGGATAGTCAGCATGAGAAGGGGCAGGAAAAAACTCAGGACAGGGAGTCCTGGGGGCTCTGGGCACTGCAAGCAGGTCACAAGGACAGGCTCAGGGAGGGATCCAGAGTGACAGGCAACAAGAATAGGCGGTGCCCCACCCAGGTCCCTCTGGTCAGTGGTCATGTGCTCTCGCCCCCAGAGAAGCAGCTGACGGCCAGCAACTGCCTGGGGGTGCTGGCCATGGCCGAGGCCATGCAGTGCGGCGAGCTCTACCACATGGCCAAGGCCTTCGCGCTGCAGATCTTCCCTGAAGTGGCGGCCCAGGAGGAGATCCTCGGCATCTCCAAGGACGACTTCATCGCCTACATCTCCAACGACAGCCTCAACACCAAGGCCGAGGAGCTGGTGTACGAGACCGTCATCAAGTGGATCAAGAAAGACCCTGCCTCCCGTGCTCAGGTGAGGCCCGCCCCCTCTCTTCCAGGCCACCCCTTCTCCGGTGACCATAGGCCTGGGTAGAGGGAGGGGGGAACTATCCCCATGGGCAGCAGACAGGCAAAGGGAGGGATGAGAGATGAGACGTCAGTCAGCACAGGTTCCCCAGGGCTGGCATTCCACTTGAAGGAGACCCGCACTGCCCAAGAGGCCACAGGGCCCATGGACAGCATCAGGGTCCTTCAGGGAGGAGGGTGCCCGGAGCTCCCGGGAGCTCAGGCACAGCAGGAGGAGCCCCACAGATGGATTGTCCCTCCCAAGGCCGGCTGCAGCAGGCCAGGCCTCCCTGTTCCTTCCTCCCCTCCCCTGTAGCTGCTGGGAGCCAAGCGGCTATACCAAGCCAAAGACAGGCTGAATTATCCGTGTCACGCAGTCCCAAAACACACCACAAGAGGGAGCTCCATCTGCATCCCTCAGGACACCCCCTGTCTCCTTGACCCTACAGTATGCCGCAGAGCTCCTGGCCGTGGTCCGTCTCCCCTTCATCCACCCCAGCTACCTGCTCAACGTGGTTGACAACGAGGAGCTGATCAAGTCATCAGAAGCATGTCGGGACCTGGTCAATGAGGCCAAACGCTACCACATGCTGCCCCACGCCCGCCAGGAGATGCAGACGCCCCGAACCAGGCCACGCCTCTCAGCAGGTATTGAGGGACATGGTCCGAGCCCCCCAAATGCAGACGGTCAGCCTGGCTCTGGGTGGTCCTCCAGAGAAACACTAGGTACAGATGCTGAAGTGTCGGGGGCTGTGCCAAGGGTGCCCATCTGTGTCCCTGCAGGTGTGGCGGAAGTCATCGTTTTGGTCGGGGGCCGTCAGATGGTGGGGATGACCCAGCGCTCGCTGGTGGCCGTCACCTGCTGGAACCCACAGAACAACAAGTGGTACCCCTTGGCCTCGCTGCCTTTCTACGACCGCGAGTTCTTCAGTGTAGTGAGTGCCGGGGACAACATCTACCTCTCAGGTGAGGCCCCTCAGGGCCGGGTTGGAGACTGGGCACGGGCTTTCCGAGTGGACTGGTCTGCGCATGTCTGGGCTGAGGGAGGCCGAGGCACAGGAAGGGGTGTCTGCAACAAAGGGGAAGGCTTCTCCCTCTGCCCCGGGGCTGGGCCGCCTGGCCACAGGCTCCTCTTCACCTGCCTGCCCTCTGCCCCCCACCCCTGCTGCAGGTGGGATGGAATCAGGGGTGACGCTGGCCGACGTCTGGTGCTACATGTCCCTGCTTGACAACTGGAACCTCGTCTCCAGAATGACGGTCCCCCGCTGTCGGCACAACAGCCTCGTCTACGATGGGAAGATTTACACGCTCGGGGGCCTTGGGGTAGCAGGCAACGTAGACCACGTGGAAAGGTAACAGGCCACAGGCACACCCGGGACGTCCTCTGACAGTCACCGAGAGCTAGTGTCCCACTGCTCCTCCTTCCCAACACCCACCCACTGAGACAACTAGAGGTTGGACATTTGTAAGGTGATAGTCCCAGGCTCTTCAAACACAACGGAGTGAGAGGACTGGGGATTGTGGGGTAGGATGGCGACAGCTGCCCAGTCACTGCCGTGGGACACTCTTGTCCCCACAGCCCATTCAGGCATCAGACAAGCCGGAAGCATGAGACCTGGGGGTGGGAAGGCCCGGATGGGTTCGCTGGCCTGACCTGGCAGTCGGACGCACGGGGGCTGCAAGCACCAGCCCAGAGGCCCTCTGGGATTCGGGACGAAGCTGCACCAAAGGCCCAGATGCGCACATGCCGGTGGCTAGGCTTCATGTCCCTGCAGGTGGGCAGTAACACACCAGGGAATTCCCTTTCTCCCTCATCCCGCACTTACCAGGAAATCTTCATGTGACACAGGGAAGAACCACTGTGCACAGATCTGGCCAACCATCTAGAATTCTCCAGAAGGGGATAAAAGCCGGTGGGGTCCAGAACCCAGGGTATCAGCCTGCCCTCTGCTGGAAGTCCCCACTGGCTTCCTCGGGCCATTTAAAAGGGGCGACGCGCAGAGGGGGCAGGTGTAGGCAGGGAGGCAGCGGCAGAGCAGGCGGAGGCTTCGGTGCCATCCTGCCTCTGGAAAAACAGTGTCCCAGAGGGTGACACGTTGGCCCCCGGTTCCAGACCAGGAGGACCCAGCCAACATCGCCGGAGCCCCTTCCCATGTCCTTCCCGCACCCTGGCCCACCTCCCTGGCTCACACCAGCAGCCGCCACAGAAAGCATATCTCCCCATGTGACAGCTTTTTGCCTATAGAGCCACACATACCCCTCAATTTGTACTTTCCCCTCAGTGGCTAATTGGGCAGTTGACAAATGTGACAGCAAGGACGGTTTCAGAGCGAGGCAGGCTGGGCATGTTCACCATGGGCTTTTAACTCCCCCAAGTGGAGCCCAGACATGGCTCAGTTACATTTAATTGTCATATCGATTGGGAGATAATGGGGAAATCCCTGTGTGATTACGAGGATGCTAATAGTGCCGTTGAACCCGGGTCAGCCCCGATGCTGACAGCCGTCAGTGGCCCCTCGCCTCCCAGAAGCCCCCGCGTCCACTTGTTTGTCAGCCAACAGCAAACACATGCAACAAGAGACATTTTCTAGGTAGGAGTAAACAGAGCTGGATCTGTCATCCCATCTTGCTTTTGTCAGCTATTTTTAATCTCCTAAGACGTTGATTGCTCATTTTGCAAACTTACACTTGTTGATAAATACAGGGATTTGTTCGAGGATCAAATACGCAAAGAGGGGGATAAGTTCCACTCCCCTTGGGCCCCAGAGCAGCCTGTACCAGCTTTCCGTGCAGGGCTGGGCACCGAGTGACAAGACCACCCTGGGACCCCACAGGTGGAGGAGCAGCCCAGGACGGCAGGGTGCCGGGAGGGGCCCCGAGCCCCTCGTCAGCCCTCTGGGGTGTCGGCTGTCCTTGGAGGGACCGGACACAGACTCGCAGATCCCTGGGAGTGTACGTGCAAGTGAGGTGGAGGGTGCGGGACTCCCAAGGGGCACAGCTGAGCCCTTTGGGCAAGACAGGTCCTGTGCCACATGGTGGCGATGATGAGATTTCATGGTGACAGGAAGGGTAGGGCAATGGGGACCGACACCAGGGTGCTTTATTCCCCAGGAAGCACTAATGGTACAAATTGCTCTCATCTTGATAATGAATGAGATATATGGTGCATTATAATTATATTACATTACTGTATTACGGGAATAGAGCAATATTATGTAATTATAGATTAAAACAACAGTGCAGTAGACAAACCTGTATCATATCATTATATGAATAACTGGGCCTAATATTTTATAGCAATATATCGCAGTCACTGTGGTTACTGGATAAATGGTAGTGGAGCGCCCCGCTCTGTGGGGTCATTTGCATGTCATTAGCATATCCCTCCCAAGCCGGAAGCTGACAGATTGAGCTGATGGAGGGCTGTGGCTTGGCAATCAGCCACCTGGAATACCAAGCTCTCGGGAAATTTGTGTTTGGCGGAACGTGCCATTGTACCGAAAGCCCGAAGACTAACAGCCACACAACCTCCTGCCGTCTCCCAGCTCCTTCCACAGGAGCTCTTTGGATCTCTGCCCTATTGGCTGAAGAAAACAGATACCTGAACTTCTGACACTGTTCAGAAAGACACTTACTGCTTTGCTTATTAGCATTTGTCACTCAGGTGGGGCTTGATTCGGTCAAGCCCTGCTGCCCTTTCAGGCACTTCAGCCTCTTCTCCAATACGGCGTCTTCACGAGCTCAGAGCTGGATTGGGTCACAGCTGTCCCCTCATCCCCTCCAGAGCCAGGGGCACCAGCAAAGAAAGGCTGTCATCCTGGGTCACAGGACTGTGACCGTGGTGCGGCTCGTGTTCCACGGAGGTCCACGGGAACAAGTGGGCCCAATGTCCTTCCCAGGAAAGATATGGGGGTGGGGGGGCCCGAGTGTGGGGGTGCAGCCAGCCCACAGCGAGGTCCTGCCTCGGGCCCAGAGCTCTCGGGAAGGCTGTCAGCAGGGTGGGCGTGGGCCGGAGCTGGGAGGCCCAGAGGGAGGGCTCGTGAGGTCAGTGCACAAGGGACACTTGGCACAAACGCTGAGAACTGAGCCCCAAGCTGCCTCCGGAAGAAAGAGCTCAAAGACCCCGGTTCCTTGACGCGTCTGCTTACTCCCAGCTCCACTCTTCCTGTGAGCTGCTTCCTGTTCCCACGTTTTTCCCTGTCTGGTCTGGAACTCACATGCCATCACTTTTCCAGGTTCAGGACGAAGGCTGAGAGGGCTCAGGAGGGCAGGCGCTAGGTGGCCTTGAGTGATTCATGCAAGGGCCCCCAGCTGTGTGATCGCGTGCCAGCGGTGCCCAGGGCAGGAAGCAGATGGTGGTGCTCCCCGACGTCCACGCCTCGGCTGTGGCCCACTTTGACCTTGGGCTCTTTTTCTCCTCTCGCGGCAGGTATGACACCATCACCAACCAGTGGGAGGCCGTGGCCCCTCTGCCCAAGGCAGTGCACTCTGCGGCAGCCACCGTGTGCGGCGGCAAGATCTACGTGTTTGGTGGTGTCAATGAGGCTGGCAGAGCCGCAGGTGTCCTCCAGTCTTACGTGCCACAGACCAACACGTGGAGCTTCATTGAGTCCCCGATGATTGGTGAGGACCAGCTGTCTCCCCCGCCCAGGCCCAGTGCAGCCGCCCCACCTCCTCGTTTCATTCCACCTCAATGCCCAGCCCAGGAGGTGGGCTCAGCCCAACGCTTCCGTGAACCCAAGTCCAGGGGTGGGAGGGGGCGAACCCCAGCCCAGGGGCAGCTGAGCAGAGGGTGAGCCATACTATGTGCCCAGTGTCTCCTGGCCCCGAGCCTCATCCTCAGGCCAGTCAGTGACACTGGAAGTCTCTCCAGCTCCCTTCCCCTGAAGGGCCCGCTGGGAAAGAGAAGGGGAGAAGGCCAAGAAGTGATGCGCTGACCTGCCTGCCCTGCTCTCCCTGCAGACAACAAGTACGCCCCTGCCGTCACCCTCAATGGCTTCGTGTTCATCCTGGGCGGGGCCTATGCCAGAGCCACCACCATCTATGACCCCGAGAAAGGCAACATTAAGGCCGGCCCGAACATGAACCACTCTCGCCAGTTCTGCAGGTGAGCGGGCCGCAGCAATTCAGCCGGGGTTGGAAAGGAGGCAGGGAGGGAGGGACAACAGGACAGGCTGGAGCACAGTGAGTGACCACGGTTCATGGACCGAAGCAAGGCCCAGGCCCACAGCAGCAGCCCCCACCCCCGCCCTCTGCAGGTGCGGGCAGGAGCACCAGCGCAGACTGTGGAGTGCCTGGGGCCAGCCCCCGGCCTGGAAGCCCAGCCCTGTGGCTTCAACGGACCCCACAGCAAAGCCAGAAAAGAAGGGCTTCTTCCCGCAGGGACCAGCCCCACAGCTTTGGAGGCCACAACTTTTCTTAGCAGGCGGTGGGGGTGCGGCTGTGGGGTCAGCTCTTCCCGCCTTTCACCACGCCCAACCACCTGCCCCATCACAGACGGGAAGTAGCACCAGCCCAGAGCCCTGCAATGCCCTACATGTGACAAGAGGCTTTTCAGCATAAAGCACCTTAGGGAGCACCCACTGTTTGTACAGCATAGCTAAAAAGCAGTGCACTACTACTAACCTGTCACGTGACCTCGGACAAGGTCCTTTCCCTCTCTGAGGAGGTTCTGTGAATGAAAAGGGCAGTTGGACAAGACAACTGCTAAGCGCCCAGTAGCACGAAGGTTCTCCAGTTCTCTGCCTTACTTTCATGTCGCACACACTACCTGGTGGCCCCTCTGACAACACTCTGCACCGATACAGACAGCTGGCACGGGAACAGGGCTTGTCGGGAGGGCTCCCAGGCCTCGTCTGAGGCCCAAAGTGGGAGCAGAAAGACATGGTGCCCGAGGGGAGGATGAAGCTGGGTCTAGCAAGAGCAGCAGGGGAGAGGTGTGCCCCAACAGGGGGACGTGAGGGGCCCGGGTGGGATGGGGCGCCTAGGAGAGAAGGCTGGGACCTCCGGTGTCTGCTAGGAAGTCTAAACCGGCGCGTTCTCTTCAAGGCTCAGAAGTGCAGAAATGGGTGGGGATTTTCCAAGGGTATCTGTCCAGTTTCAGGGGCTAGCCCAGAAGAAATTGCCCCTCGCTCAGATGAGCGAACAAGCAGGGCTTGGCACGTGGATCCATGGGACAGGGTGGCTGGAAGGCAGGAAGGGAGGAAATGCAGACGGGGCAGCAGGCGGAGCTCACAGGACTGACCGAGACACAGGACTGAGCCCGTGAGCATGGCACAGGGACCGCAGGGTAACCCTGCCGAGGGCACCCCGGGCCCTGGCTGTCCCAGGTGGGCAGCAGCACTTGCCGCGCTGTTCAGGAACCACAGCGAGAAGCTCTGACCCTGAGCACCCCGGAAAGGGTGGAAAATGCGGCCTGGTGGCCGATGCCCAGTGAGGACTTATTATCCTGTCTGCTGGCCTTCTGTGAGCCATGTTCCCAGCATGATTTGAGCGGCAGGGAGGGCCTGTGCGGACACAGGAAGAGATGAGACTCAGTGAACGGAGCTAAGAGCCTGTCCGTCTCCCAGCCATCTTTCCTCAGTGCGGCAGGTCCCAGGACACCCAGTATTAATGTGTTACCCACAGCTCCAAGGGTAGTGCAGTGTGGCATTCTGATCGGCTCTGGAGGAAAGGTGTCTTTTTTTATACCAGCTTGGGTCAGAGGGCAAAGGAGAGCAGTGAGATCCCATATCACTTTTGCAAAAGGGGAGAAGCAGCCTGCAGCGAAACAGGGTACTGAGGATCTACCTCCAGGTCCAAACTGGAAGTTCAGTGGCTAATGCTCTTCCCGCTTCCCCTGACAGCGCCGTGGTGCTTGATGGCAAGATCTATGCGACCGGGGGCATTGTCAGCAGTGAGGGGCCCGCGCTGGGCAACATGGAGGCCTACGAGCCCGCCACCAACACATGGACCCTCCTCCCCCACATGCCCTGCCCTGTGTTCAGACACGGCTGCGTCGTGATAAAGAAATACATTCAAAGCGGCTGACATCAGCTGATCACCCACACGAGACTGTGGACGAGTCCGGTGAGGCAAATGCTTCTCACAGTGATCGATTTTCAGCAACACCGATAAGAGGCCGACAAACACAATCAAGGAACTCACTGCGCTAAACATTCGAATACTCTCTACATTGAATGTAGAAAATCATCCTTGCCTTTGGGGAAAGTGGGGCCTAGCGCTCTGAGCAGCAGGACCCGGGGCGTCCAGCGAGCGGGGCCCCGGGGCTCCAGCAGAAGAACTTGCTCTGAACGGAGGCGCTCACTCTGCCCGGTGCAATAGAGTCTCACATATTTTTCAACTGGGAGAGAGAAGCTGTTTTTTCCTTCCTGCAGAGCAAGCTTGACCCCAAAACCACCCTAGATCAGTTATCCTGTGACACTATTAGGCGTCAGGCTCTCTTGGAATAAGATCAAAGTGTCCTTATCACTTTGATTCCTACTTTTGTTTTTAACCAATCTACACTTCCAGTGGCCAAGAGAAAACAAGGGACAATATTGTACGGCACGAGGTCGCGGAGGCTGCTGGTCCCCACTGGGGCTGAAGAGGTCCCGCCGCCTGGGCAGAGCCAGGCGTGGCTGGAGCCACCCCGCCGGTCAGCGGGGAACAGCTGGGGGAGCTGCCTGTCCTCACAGGGTTTTCTACCACGTTTTTGCTGGAGAAGGACAAGATGATCATGCTAGCTTTCTCTTATCCAATATGAATTATTTAGATTTCCAAGGCATTTTCTTGATAAACAAAAAGCTATTTTTAAGTACCAAGAGGAGGAGGCCACAAGAGGGAGAACGCAGGAATTCCCCAAGCTCTTTGTAGGCAGAGCCGGAGCGGGGCATTTGCTCTGATTTTTCTACATGCAGAATAGAGGATCTCTCCTGGGGGGAGTAAACGCCCCCGTTTTATTTTTAGAAAAAGTAACTCCCAGACAGCCGCCATAAAAGCTGTGCCTCCTGGGGGTTCTGATCTAGAAGGCAACCACAGTCCAGCTCCCTCCATGAGGTAAAGCTGAGGACCCAGGCCCAGTGGGAACGGAAGGAGGGAGGGCGGGCGGATCAAGGTCTACAAAGCACAGGAGACTATTTTTGATATTTATAGCTATATATTAAGGCACCTGCCACCAGAGCTCTCAGGATGGGGACAGCCTTCTTAGATGAGCCATGACAGCCACGGCCCGAGGGGCATGAGCAGAATCGCTCTTCTTATAGCATGTCACCCTGAGACGGGGACGCGGGGACAGAGGTGACCCCGGGGCTCGAACGTGAGAGGCCTTCCCCGCCAGTCCTCAGACCCTCCAACCTCATGCGGTGATCAGTTTCCATTCCAGGGCAAGAAGAACGCCGCCGCCACTGCGCTGTTTAGTTGAAGTTGGTACCAAATACACATCTACCATTTTTATATCTAGGAAGTCAACCTGCTGTCATTTCATGATTTAAAAAAAAAAAAACCAGAAACATTTACAAGGAGAAAAGGACAGGACTCGCCTTCCACCTCTCAGCATTTGAGGACACAAAAATTCCAGCTCTAGCACTTACAAGTGCGGCTCCCACTTGGACGAGATACCGAGCTTCGTTATGCAGTTTTTAATATTATTTATTCTTTTAAAAAGTAATAAGCACAAAACTACATACATTGTATGTCATTTAACGTATTTATGTCAAACAGGGTGCAAGTGTGAACCCAAGGACTGGAGCACAAATTTCTAACTGCCTGGGGCAGGGCTACGTTAGCGTCGGGGTGCGGCTGCCTCCAAAGGAGGTGTTAGTGGTCAGCAGGACTCAACACAGATGACGCTGAGACCGCGCGTCTCTCCTCATCTATCACACTGGAGCAAAACTGGCTGTTTCTGTGAATGATATAAACAGGGTTCTCTGTAATGGTATTGTACATAGTATATGTTTATTGTTAAGTTCTTGGTATATTATAATAAATATATTTATAGATCTAGACTTGGAAGTCCATGTAATGTCTTCGCGGGCCTCTGCCCTCGTCACCGCCGCAGTCTGGGCCCTGTCACAGGCAGATGTGGATGGAGAGAGCTGAAAAGAAGCCAAGGATAAAGGGAAATTCAAGGTCAAAGTTGAAAGGGACTTGCAGACAGTCTGGAATTGACTCCGAGGGTCCAAGGGTGTCCCCTTCGTTGTAAGTGCTCTTCTTATTACACGTGTGTGACCAAAGCTTCAAAGTTAGCTTCCCGCTGATCTAATCCCTGTGTCTGGGATCTTTTGTGGGGACTGTGCCAAAGCCGCATGGCCAGTCCAACTCCTCAGCCTGAGAATTACAACTCGCTTCCCCCAGGAAGAACAACAGGTGTGGCTTGTACCCTAAGATTCAGGCAAGGTGGCCCCCTGCCTTCTTGAGTCACACCCAAGGCCGTTCTCTAACACGTCACATAGACAGACTTTGCTAAGGATGCCCCTGCAAGGCTTCCCAAGGTGAAAATGGAAGTCACCAGATAGGACTGCACTCCCTCTTGCAGGGAAACAAGTTGAGATTAGTAGGAAAGTGTAGATTTACCTGCATTTCTCAGTCCCCAAATCTCACCAAAGCCTAGTGCCTCTTGGCAAGAAGAAGAGCCTGAAGAGGATGGGCCGGGGTAGGTGGGAGTGGGAGTCCAGAGAACTTGGCCGAGGCCTTGTGAGGAGGGAGCCACGCAGCTGCCACAAGCATATCTGCGATGAGATCTTCAGAAATGTCAGTGCCCGAGGAAAGGATGGAGGATGCCTGGAAGATTCCAACTGTGAAGTGTCAAAATTATAACCTGTCATAAACACCAAGTAACGGTTTGTCAGCTCCTTCCTTGGCTACTTTATTTCCCTAAATCAAGTGAAACATGTTCTCTGGGTCTATAAAGAGCCTGTGTCCTTTAGACTTAACTCAGGGTGGTAAACAAATTGCATTTTGCCATAACAGGTATGTGCACCCACTGCATTAGGGGACCGTGGGACCATAGGGGTCTCTCCTGTTGGACTCAAGGTACGATCATCAGACTGGGTGTGGATGGGGAGAAAGTTTACTGCGAGGGCCACAAAAGGGAGGTGGCTCACTCTGTGTGTGTGTGTGTGTGTCTGTGTGAGTGTGTGTGTGTGTGTGTCTCTGTGAGAGAGAGAGAGAGAGAGAGAGAGAGAGAGAGAGAGAGAGAGAGAGAGGTTGCACCTTTTTTAAAAAACTCATAGCCAAAATAAGTCAGGAAACATGTTTGCAGTTCATATGACAAAGGATTAATATCTTTACTAAAGAGCCCATGTAATTCAGTCAGAAAATGTTAAGTGATTCCAACCATTAAATAGGTCATAAACAGATCCCGCAAAGAGAAAACATTGCTAGCAAATATTCAACAAAAAAGTTCAACACTGCTAGTCATTAAGTAATGAAACGTAAAATAATGAGGCAACTCTTTGCTTACTGAATCAGCTCACCAAAGCTGAAAATAAAGGCTGGGAGGGGACCTCAAGCCCTACTGAGGACAGGCTGAACTCCTGAGTAGTGCCAAGGCCTTTGCAAACGGAAACAGCCCCTTTAGGAGGCAAGGTGGCAGGTGCCATGTACCAAAAGCCTGAGGTATACTCAACCCAGGAAAGGCCCTTCTGGGCGTCCCTAAGGAGATGACACCGCCTCTGAGGAAGTAGTAGGAGAACAGCTCACTCCCACTCCTTGACACTCACTGTAGGTTAGACACCATGCTGCTCACCTTAAGCTTAGAATCCTCATAATTCTGTGAGAGGGGCGCTAAGGACATGCAGCAGTGTAGAAAACATGAGGTGAGGAAGGACGTGAGACTCATATTTGCATATGGTTGCAGTTATGTAAGGTCTGTATATAAGGATCGTAAAATATGGATATTAAGTGACAGATTCACAGTCATAAACTATTAGTTGTCCTGATGGGATTGTGGGCCATTTTTCTTCCCTCTTCTCCAAAATGTATATAAAGTGATGACATTACTTTTACAATAAAGAAATGTATTTTTTAATGGGGAAGGACGAACAGAAAGTAATCTTTTACCTCTAGCCTGAGAAACTGTGGTAGATTATTTGCTACTTTGGGCACCAGAAGCAATGGAGAAGTTAGGGTTCAGAATAAAGTAAAAAGAATTACATATAAAAAAGTGATTTAATGGAAAAAATACAATAAAAAATAAACTACTTAAAAAAAGAAAGTGATTGCCAGTAATAAGCAAGGTTTGTTTTTTTTTTAAACCTAAAGGCTAGGGGTGAATGGATTATATCTTTCAGTGCATGAAGATTTTTATAGGAAAAAAATGAACATCAAAACGTCTCTGTGTTCCTAGGAGGCTAAGTAAGATGAAAAGCACAAAATAAGGAGGACAATTCTAGTTCTCCATAAGGGTACAGAATGAGAGCTGAAACTCGAACGGAAGACCAGGATCCTTGTGCAGGTCTTCTCTAATTAAACCTCAATCTATTTACATACCGTGACCACACACACTGTCTCCCTTCCTCATCTCAGTTGCCCTAAAGGGCACAGGGCACCATCCACACTCTTTAAAAGGAAACCATCTCAGAAGAGTTAGGCGACTTGGCCAGCCACAGCTATGCCATGCCCCAGCGTCTCCATACATCAGCGCATCTAATCCACCTACCAACCCGGCAGAGGCTGGTGGTCCCCGCTGCACAGGGGAGGCCCAGGTAAAGCAGGGACTTAGTCTAAGGCACATCAGTGCTCAGACCCAGCTCAGCGAGACGCCGGGGTCCCACACTACATCGCACGGCCTCTCCAAGCCTCTCTAAACCTCTCTGCAGTTGCGTAGCTCTTAAGACTCCAAGACTAAGGCCCCTTCCTCCTCCCAGCCTGCCTCAGAAATCTGGAATGAGGAGCGTTCTATAGTGTGATAGACAATCAGCTCCGCATTAGACACAGTCCTCTTCAGAAGCCATATTTGAAATGCCTGGTAAGAGTCTCAGCAGCACATTGGCTTCCGCCGGCTGCAGGTTTGGCTTTACCCAGGACACTTGGGGGAAGGAGAATCCACTCAAGTGTCAGGCTGACAGCTGCTGCCTCCTGCAGGCCTTCACCATGCAATGAACCCTCAAGGGCTTCCTGTTGTTCGTGCTGACCACAGTCCCTGGCCTGGGAGAGTAAAGGGGAGAACACACCAGCCCTGGCTGCACCGTCTTCAGCCCCAAAGGGGATATCATGACCTTGGCACCCAAGGAGGTAGAAGGTTAACATGTTCCCCCCCATCCTGAGCATGTTCAGCTGTGAGGGAAATTATCAAATTGCTCCAAAAAGCATTTATCTTACTGCCGTAATCGGGATGGGAGGGGGGTGGAGGCTGAAGGGCGGAGGGGCATAGCCATCTCTCTACTCCTGCACCAACACTAAATATTGGAAAACTTTAAAATTTCTGCTAATATCACAGAGGAAAAATATTTTTTGGCCTCTTGTATGTCTATCTGTAAATTTCCTATTTTTATTTAGTTGTGTTTTGTTTCATTTATGGGACGGATTGCTTTATATCTTACGACCCTTAATCCGTTTCAGGGATAGAGAGAGAGTAAATATTTTCTCCCAGTTTATCATTTGTCTTTTAAGTTTTGTCCTTCATTGTAGAGAATCTTAAATTACTATGTAGTCAAATCTAGCTTTTATAGCTTAGAAAGCCTTCCTTTTACCCTGAGGATATTTTTAAAGATTCTCTTGTACATATTTACTTTTATCATATCATTTTTTTTCATGTTTACTTCTTAAATCCACTAACCTGAAATGCTTTTGTGTAAGATATAAAACAGAGCTCTAACATTTTCCCCACACACAGATCATCCATTGATCAGGTTCCTACTAATTAATCTTTTTTATTTGAGATGCCAATTTTATATAATCTCCAAAAATATAGACCTGCTTTTGGTCTATTGACCTATTGCTCTTATTACTTCTCTTCATCATTTTATCCTAATACAATACATCTTGATATTTCCTATGGCAACTCTCATCTTGTAATTGTTTTTTAAATGTAATTTTTAAAAACTCAAAAAATAGGCTATTTTGAGGTATTAACATTTTCTAAGTAAATTTATTTTAAGATAGGTATTATGTATTCTTTTGGAAGTTAAATCCTGTTGTTCTACAGTTTTTGTTACTATTGGGGTGGGCTCTTTTTGCTCCATTACAGTTTTTGTTTACTAATAATATATTAAAAAGCTATTGACTTCTCTGTAAAAAAAAAAAAAAAAAAAAAAAAATAGTGGGTCAAGGAACAAACTCAAATAAGGACCCAACTCCAAGAACTCTGACTTTTCCACAGATAACAGAAAAAAGATCATCCCCAAATCTGTATTCACCCTCCTCCACCTGCCCCTGCAAATGTATAATCCCTGGACTCCATTGTCCCCTAGCACTTGGTAGGTCACCAGGGTGTCTTTGTCTTTCCTCCCGCACGGGGAGGATGCAGCCGCAGCCGTGGAGTGGCTCATGCTGGGGGAAGAGACCACGCTGCCTGCGGGCCAGGGCCGAGTCCTTCGGACCGCGCCCACGGAACGGCTCACCCTGAGACCCAGGGACGGAGCACGTGACCAAAGCCTACAGGCCGCAGAGAATGTTTCCAGCTACAGAAAGGGGAAAGGCAAGGCCACAGCTGTGGGCGCTGCATTAGCCGCGGGGAAGCTGGCTGCCGCTCAGGTGCACACCTGGGCCTCGCGGGAGCCCTCGCAGCCCTTCCTCCTTAGGGACTCAGTCCTGCGACTTCCGCATCCCTGTGGGTCAGACTCGCCCCCGAGGCTCATCAGCTCACCCCACCCCCACTTCACCTCTCCACCGCCACGCCACCTTGTCTAAGCCCCCATCACTCGCTCCCCACCTGGGCTGGCGCCACCGCCCTTCCCAGGGTTCTTTTTAATAACA